AGAGAGAGAGAGAGAGAGAGAGAAAGAGAGAGACAGGGACAGGTGGATAGACGGATAAAATCGGACAGAATCACGCGACTGGACTACATCGTATAGAGTCACCGCGAGCCACGCGCTTCACGCACTTGCTCGACGTTCCCGTCCTCGCTGCCGTCGCGATCGTCGTTGGTGCTTTCCCCCCGGGCGGGTTAACGGCGCGAATGCTGCCCGGCCCCTAACGCACCTACTCCCGCTGTACGCCGCATGTCTACCGCCCGATCCCCGCAGCGGTCCGCGCTGGTGCGGTGCGGTGGTGCGATGCGGCTCGGAAAACACCGGAACCGAAACGACGCAATCGCACTGGCCGCGTCGTTCTCGCGGCAGGTGTCGCGACGTGGGCTCGAGAGAGCTCTCGTCGAAGAGGAGAGGAGCTGCGGCTGAGCTGCGCGACCCGACCGGCGCGAGCCGCGAACTCACCTGACCCCCCGCGGCCCGCGACCGCGCGAACCCGCGACCGGCGGGACCCTCAGCGTGGGAGGGCTGGAAGGGAGGGTCGCGGGGCGTCGATCGGTCGGGTAATAATCCTTATTAGCGAGCTCCGGATTGTGTCGGTGACGGCAAATGCGATAGAAAGATTATTATGGAAAGAAAATTCACGCGACCAGCTAAATCTGTCGAAAAAGCGGAGAACTCTGCACACCAATTAAATCCCGATGAGATGAGTTATATCGAATTTGATTGGCGGCACATTAAAGCTGTCGTGTACAAATCGACGAAAAAGTGCATGTTAATGTAAAATAAAAGTGTATCGCGAAATTCGTAATACATGTGCTTAAATGCTTGTTATTATGCTGTTTTGTAAAATACTAAAATATTTTTAGCATTTTATCTATCGCATTCTACGTTGCCACTGAAATTAGATTAGTGTATAACGACTTTAATATGCACCAGTGCATTCAATTGAAATTCGCTATTATAGTTTTCACATATAAAGTATAATAGCTTATAACGTGATGAATAAAAGATATCACAGGGGCTTAATAATGGATAGATTTGAGTTAGTATTTCATGTATCAAAGGTGTCAAACTTGTGTTCACAAGCACTAATACATCTTGGCTCAAAAGCTATCCATTATTAAGCCTCGGATACAGCACAATTCTCCCAGTGACGTCCTAAAGACGTCTCCAGAGAACGGCCTGAGGCTGTCCAGAGTAAGGATTCTCAAAACGTTTCTCGGATAAAGTGTGCTGTACTGTACAGTTTGTGTCTAGTAAAACGTTAAACCTATGGGTTTTTGGGAGAGACTAAAGCCTTAGAAGAAGTTAGGTAATTTAAACAGCGTATATGTCATGAATTTTATAAATAATTGAGACTAAGATAGCAACTATCGTTAACGCACTTGGCGCGCAAGGCTATCGGCTTCTTAATGAGATATCGTTAATGATATGATTATTTGTCGCTGACAAGATACTATTAATAGTATCTCATTGATGTATTTGTAAATCTAATCAAAAGCGTATGAAAAGAATTGTATTCATTAGGAGAGGCAAACGCTCGAAGATCACAAAAGCTCTTGCGGATGCAAATTTTATAAAATAAATACTATTTTGCTGCCTTTCTCAACATCTATCTGAACCAATCAATTAGCCGTATTAACATTTAAGACATTACTTAAAATATGACCCTGAAATAAGAATAGATTATAAATATACCGATCTATATGATTACGACTTGATTTACGCTAAAGTTGATAACATCGATGTTATATAACTTCGGTGTAAATCGAGCTGTGTAAACAAAGTCTACGAAATCTGTTGTTCACTACACAATATTTATAGCTACATATATATTAAAATTCATTTCAGTGGGATCTAATTTTCTAACATATATAATTTATGCGGAGTCCTTTTGTAAAATATTTACTACATATTTGACAGAATGCCAGTCGAAATATAATAATTTCGATGAAATATTGATGACAAATTAACTGCAAAATGAAACACATAATCGTTTAAATAACTATGAAAAGAGATTCTGAGAGAGAAAGGACAAATTCCTAATTCATATGATTTCTGCTGACAATCTATAACTGTCAGATTATGTCATTATAATGCCGATCTACCGCAACATTTTATTTGAATCGGCAAATTAATATTTCGCTTACTGAGCTTGCACATAATATCTATGAAACACTAATGAATATATATATCGTATATATATAACATTTTTTTAACTTAATATGATGCATCTATGTTCGCGCGCGCATCTAGTATTTATTTTATAGCGTTAAACGCGAGCGTATTCAATTTTCTAATTCAATTATCAGTTCGGTGATGTAACAGTTGTTTTGCAACACTGCATGTGGTTGAAAACATAATTTCGCTTGTTTTCTTTTTTTAAATTACGGATCCATTGACGTAACGTTACGTCCGTTCATAAGCTAAAACTGATAAGAATTCCGCTGTGTAACCAATGGAGTATCTATTATTTTTTGTCGGTATCTTTTATCTAATATATCTATTATTTTTTGTTGATATCTTGTGTTACTCTGCCTTTAGGAACGTCTGTCTTTGTATCGGTTTTATCACTTCATTCTCGTTTACTTTAATTTATTTTTTACTATAAAGCTTTTTATTTTAAAACTTATTAGTATACTATAAATTTCTTATTATTACTATAAGTTATTAATTGTTTATTCTCTTTTATTCTCCTTTATTCTAATTTTCTAATTCAATTCTTTTGGTTAAAGCCTATACAAGCCTTCAGAAGTCAATTGGATAATAGCTCCGTTCGTTGCAGTTGTACTCTCTACGTTATACTTTCTTAAAATAAAATTGAACCAGATTCCTAAAATAAAATATAATTGAACGTTGAAAAGAAGAAGGGAGACAAAAATACGAAAAGTTTTCAGCTAGACAGAAACGTAAAGCCTGTGTCAAACTGGAATTAATATTGAAACCAAGATTGAAATTAATCCATCAAAAGAAAGAAAATCAATGTTAAAAATTTGAACAAATTCAAAGCACATTCAAATTTTACTTTCATTAAGTTAAATTCAATTTCTCTAAAACAAGCATAATATCGTAAAAACTATTAAATTCAAGATTGAGATTAAAATTGGACTGGAATTTAACCTCCCCCACACACAGCACACACACACAATGGAAAAAAAGAAAACCGACGTCAGAAACATTTAATGAACTTTACTCTCTCTCTTGATTGGTCCAATCTAATTTCAATCTCTAATCTAATGATTAATCATAGATCACCATTTGTGTTCTATAGCTAAACTATAAGTATATAATATACATTTGAAACTTTTTAATATTTGATGAAAGCGAGAAAGCTGTTATAATATTAATATAACAATTGTGTATTCAGTATATAAATGTATATGACTTTATAACATTATTTAGATGCGACATATCATCTATATTATGCAAATGTGTTATATTTTTGTTATGTTGCTCTTACTTTATTATAACAAGTAAATGACAAAATAATGCAACAGTCACATAAGAGTTAAGTTAATTTACAGATATACGTATATAACTTGATGTATAACAGAATATATTGCATCACTATGTATATAACATTCTATTATATTACACACACAATACATATATCATAAAAGTTTGACTTTTTATATTTTTATCTTCTAGAAAAAAAGTTACATGATCGATATACTGACAATGAGCTTTATTAATGCGCGGTCGGCATTTAAATCAACTCCGCGGATGCTCCAGATAACCCTTTTCCGAACAGCTGCAAGCCTATAGTCGGTAAAGTAGAGCACTTTCCGCAGCTAACGGACAGGGAGAGAGACGGGATAGGGGTGGGCGAGGAGCGGGGAAGGTTGAGGGTGGGCGCGAAGTGGGGGATCGCAGTATCTCGTGGAGTGGCTGATTCGCTACGAAGTACGACTTGTCGCTCTCTTCCCTGCTCTGCTCTTCACTCGTGTTGCGGCGCCGACGAGGTGCACGCGGACTGTTCCTGTTCCATCGGTGAGTGCCGGCAGGTGGTGGGTGTGTACGGAACGTTTCGGTCTCCCGGTCCAGGCGCAGAGGAAGAAGAAGAATAAGCCCTCGAGTTTCTCTCACTGCCGCGAGCACCAGTCATGGGCGGTAAGTCGGAGAGAAGTTCGCCGGTCCCGAACGATCGCCACGCGGCTCGACTTGGGCTCGCGGCCGATAACGTCGCTTGCCGGTCTTGACCCGATGACCTTCGTTCGCCGTTCCGCGAGCGTCTCAATCTCTCTCTCTCTCTCTCTCTCTCTCTCTCTCTCTCTCTCTCTCTTCTCGTGTCAAGACCCGATCTGCGGAATGAATTCATCGTGATCGGGAACTCGGCACCGTTCGATACACGTGCGATACAAATGCGTATCGAAAAAGTAAACGACGTAGCCGGTGCGATTGTTTTCGTTTTTTTTCGTCCGGACGAGGCTGAAAAGCTCTCGGCTCCGGAAGCCGCGATCGCGCTAGAAAGTTGAATCATGCGACGACAATTCGAGAGTTAAGAAAGTTAATGAGTTTTTCGAGCCCCATCGGTTCTACCTTCGAACGTCGAAGCTGTTCATTTCCCGCTCGTCCCGATTCCACCGTGAATTTCTTCGCTAATCGCAAGCATGAACTTTTTCACGAATCGATTACGTGATCGATTGAGGAATAATCGCGCGGAGCGTTGAGTTTAAATTTGAAATTTTTCACGACTCTCAGGGAAGAACTTTGCGATCGCTGTTCAGGGAAATAATCGTGGAACTTTTTCAAAATTAGAGGAAAAATGTGGAAAGTGAAGATTTTTATCATTGT